CGGCGCGCGGGCGTCTAGGGGCCGGGACGGGCGGCGCGCGGGCGTCTAGGGGCCGGGACGGGCGGCTCACGGGCGTCGAGGGGCCGGGACGGGCGGCGCACGGGCGTCGAGGGGCCGGGACTGGCGGCGCGCGGGCGTCTAGGGGCCGGGACGGGCGGCGCGCGGGCGTCTAGGGGCCGGGACGGGCGGCGCGCGGGCGTCTAGGGGCCGGGCCGGGCGGCGCACTGGCGTCTAGGGGCCGGGACGGGCGGCGCGCGGGCGTCTAAGGGGCCGGGACGGGCGGCGCGCGGGCGGCTAAGGGCCGTGACGGGCGGCTAAAGGGGCCACTAGGGGCCAAGAGAGAGGGGAGCGCGACCCGGGTAGGGGCAGAGTGCGCTCCGGGCAGGAAAAAAAAACGGTGGGCCCTAGGAACAGTTCCCACGAGGGAACCTGCTCGATACCATGAGAATAGTAGAACGAGGATGGATGAACTATGAATGAAGTGAGTACATATGGGAAACCCTAATTGGGTTGTACCCCCTATGGGATACCCCACTATAGCCTACACAACAGTATAAGCTATATATATGTTCTGACAGCGTGCCTGGTCCGCGTGCCCTGGTCCACGTGCGCACGCTCCTCTGCGCGCGCGCCTGGTTTGTCCGCGCACATGATCAAATACACCTATAAATGACTTTTTGGCTTGGTTCATGCGCAAAGAAAAGTTCGGCGCCTATGATTTCGGCTGCTTGGCGCAAAGAAAGTTTGGCTGTTTTTGCCAACAATTCTTTAGAAAGCGCATGAATCTCTATAGGCGTAGGGGAAAACATTCAACTATCTGAATGTTACTGCATATTCGAGTGCTCAGATTCAAATACACATATTAGAGCCTTTTCGGCTTGGTTCGTGCGCAAAATAAAAGCTCGGCGCCTATGATTTCGGCTGATTTTGCCGACAAACGTTTGAAAAGCACATGAATTTCTCAAGGCGTAGGGAAAGGCATTCAACAATCTGAATGTTATTGCATATTCGAATGGCCCATGTTCAATGACACCAGTTGAAACCTTTTCGTCTTGGTTCGTGCGCAAAGAAAAGTTCGGCGTCTATGATTTCGACTGATTTTTACGACAAATGCTCAGAATGCAAATGAATTCCTATAAGCATAGGGAAAAGCATAAAATTACCTGAGTATTATTGTATATTCGAGTGGCTCATGTTCAAATACACGTATTGAAGCCCTTTTTGGCTTGGTCTATGTGCAAAGAAAAGTTCGGCACGCATGATTTCGGACGTTTTTGCCGAAAATTGCTTGAAAAGCGCATGAATCCCTACACGCGTAGGGAAAAGCATTCAAGAACCTGAATGTTACTGCATATCCAAGTGGTTCAAGTTCAAATACACCAATAGAACCCTTTCTGCTTGGTTCTTGCGCAAAGAAAAGTCCGGCGCCTATAATTTCAGTCGTTTTTGCTGACAGATGCTTAAGAAGCGCATGAATCCCTACAGGCGTAGGGAAAAGCATTCAATGATCTGAATGTTACTGCATACTCGAGTGGCTCAAATTCAAATACACCTATGGAAGCCTTTTTGGCTTGGTTCTTGCGCAAAGAAAAGTTCGGCGCCTATGATTTCGGCCGTATTTGCCGACAGATGCTTAAGAAGCGCATGAATCCCTACACGCGTAGGGAAAGGCATTCAATAAACAGAATGTTACCGCATATCCGAGTGGCTCAAGTTCAAATACACCTATAGAAGCCTTTTAGGCTTAGTTCTTGCGCAAAGAAAAGTTTGGCACCTATGATTTCGGCCGTTTTTTCCGACAGATGCTTAAGAAGCGCATGAATCCCTGCAAGCGTAGGGAAATGCATTCAAGAACCTGAATTTTACTGCATATCCGAGTGGCTCAAGTTCAAATACACCTATAGAAGCCTTTTCGGCTTGGTTCTTGCGCAAAGAAAAGTTCGGCGACTATGATTTCGGCCGTTTTTTTCGACAGATGCTTAAGAAGCGCATGAATCCCTACAAGCGTAGGGAAAAGCATTCAAGAACCTGAATGTCACTGCATATCCGAGTGGCTCAAGTTTAAGTACACCTATTAGAGCCTTTTCGGCTTGGTTCTTGCGCAAAGAAAAGTTCGGCGCCTATGATTTCGGCCATTTTTGCCGACAAATGCTTCAGAAGCGCATGAATCCCTACAAGCGTAGGGAAAAGCATTCAAGAACCTGAATGTCACTGCATATCCGAGTGGCTCAAGTTCAAATACACCTATTAGAGCCTTTTCGGCTTGGTTCTTGCGCAAAGAAAAGTTCGGCGCCTATGATTTTGGCCGTTTATGCCGACAAATGCTTCAGAAGCGCATGAATCCCTACAAGCGTAGCGAAAAGCATTCAAGAACCTGAATGTTACTGCATATCCGAGTGGCTCAAGTTCAAATACACCTATTAGAGCCTTTTCGGCTTGGTTCTTGCGCAAAGAAAAGTTCGGCGCCTATGATTTTGGCCGTTTTTGCCGACAAATGCTTCAGAAGCGCATGAATCCCTACAAGCAAAGGGAAAAGCATTCAAGAACCTGAATGTTAATCCATATCCGAGTGGCTCAAGTTCAAATACACCTAGTAGAGCATTTTCAGCTTGGTTCTTGCGCAAAGTAAAGTTCGGCGCTATGATTTCGGCCGTTTTTGCCGACAAATGCTTCAGAAGCGCATGAATCCCTACAAGCGAAGGGAAAAGCATTCAAGAACCTGAATGCCACTGCATATCCGAGTGGCTCAAGTTCAAATACACCTATTAGAGCCTTTTCGGCTTGGTTCTTGCGCAAAGAATGGGGTGGCGCCTATGATTTTGGCCGTTTTTGCCGACAGATGCTTAAGAAGCGCATGAATCCCTACAAGCGTAGGGAAATGCATTCAAGAGCCTAACTGTTACTGCATATCCGAGTGGCTCAAGCTCAAATACACCTATTAGAGCCTTTTCGGCTTGGTTCTTGCGCAAAGAAAAGTTCGGCGCCTATGATTTCGGCCATTTTTGCCGACAAATGCTTCAGAAGCGCATGAATCCCTACAAGCGTAGGGAAAAGCATTCAAGAACCTGAATGTCACTGCATATCCGAGTGGCTCAAGTTCAAATACACCTATTAGAGCCTTTTCGGCTTGGTTCTTGCGCAAAGAAAAGTTCGGCGCCTATGATTTTGGCCGTTTATGCCGACAAATGCTTAAGAAGCGCATGAATCCCTACAAGCGTAGGGAAAAGCATTCAAGAACCTGAATGTCACTGCATATCCGAGTGGCTCAAGTTTAAATACACCTATTAGAGCCTTTTCGGCTTGGTTCTTGCGCAAAGAAAAGTTCGGCGCCTATGATTTCGGCCATTTTTGCCGACAAATGCTTCAGAAGCGCATGAATCCCTACAAGCGTAGGGAAAAGCATTCAAGAACCTGAATGTCACTGCATATCCGAGTGGCTCAAGTTCAAATACACCTATTAGAGCCTTTTCGGCTTGGTTCTTGCGCAAAGAAACGTTCGGCGCCTATGATTTTGGCCGTTTTTGCCGACAGATGCTTAAGAAGAGCATGAATCCCTACAACCGTAGGGAAATGCATTCAAGAGCCTAACTGTTACTGCATATCCGAGTGGCTCAAGCTCAAATACACCTATTAGAGCCTTTTCGGCTTGGTTCTTGCGCAAAAAAAAGTTCGGCGCCTATGATTTCGGCCGTTTTTGCCGACAGATGCTTCAGAAGCGCATGAATCCCTACAAGCATAGAGAAAAGCATTCAAGAGCCTAACTGTCACTGCATATTCGAGTGGCTCAAGTTCAAATACACCTATTAGAGCCTTTTCGGCTTGGTTCTTGCGCAAAAAAAAGTTCGGCGCCTATGATTTCGGCCGTTTTTGCCGACAGATGTTTAAGAAGCGCATGAATCCCCACAAGCGTAGAGAAAAGCATTCAAGAACCTGAATGTCACTGCATATTCGAGTGGCTCAAGTTCAAATACACCTATTAGAGCCTTTCGGCTTGGATCTTGCGCAAAGAAAAGTTCGGCGCCTATGATTTCGGCCGTTTTTGCCGACAGATGCTTAAGAAGCGCATGAATCCCCACAAGCGAAGGGAAGAGAATTCAAGAACCTGAATGTCACTGCATATCCGAGTGGCTCAAGTTCAAATACACTTATTAGAGCCTTTTCGGCTTGGTTGTTGCGTAAACAAAAGTTTGGCGCCTATGATTTCGGCCATTTTTGCCGACAGTTGCATAAGAAGCGCATGAATCCCTACAAGCGTAGGGATTAGCTTTCACGAACCTGAATGTCTCTGTATATTCGAGTGGCTCAAGTTCAAATTCACCTATTAGAGCCTTTTTGGCTTGGTTCTTGCGCAAAGAGAAGTTCGGCGCCTATGATTTCGGCTGTTTATGCCGCCAGATGCATAAGAAGCGCATGAATCCCTACAAGCGTAGGGAAAAGCTTTCAAGAACCTGAATGTCACTGCATATTCGAGTGGCTCAAGTTCAAATTCACCTATTAGAGCCTTTTCGGCTTGGTTCTTGTGCAAAGAACGATTCGGCGCCTATGATTTCGGCTGTTTTTTCAGACAGCTGCTTAAGAAGCACATGAATCCCTACAAGCGTAGGGAAAAGCATTCACGAACCTGAATGTTACTGCAGATTCGAGTGGCTCAAGTTCAAATACACCTATGGAAGCCTTTTCGGCTTGGTTCTCGCGCAAAGAATAGTTCGGCGCCTATGATTTCGGCCGTTTTTGCCGACAGATGCTTAAGAAGCGCATGAATCCCTACAAGCGTAGGGAAAAGCATTCGCGAACCTGAATGTTACTCCAGATTCGAGTGGCTTAAGTTCAAATACACCTATTAGAGCCTTCTCGGCTTGGTTCTTGTGCAAAGGAAAGTTTGGCGCCTATGAAATCGGCTGTTTTTGCCGACAGATACTTAAGAAGCGCATGAATCCCTACAAGCGTAGGGAAAAGCGTTCAAGAACCTGAATGTCACTGCAGATTCGAGTGGCTCAAGTTCAAATACACCTATTAGAGCCTTTTCGGCTTGGTTCTTGCGCAAAGAAAAGTTCGGCGCCTATGAATTCGGCCGTGGTGATGGAAAGCGGGAGAATGGGGCAGGGTGATGGAAGGAGAGGGTGATGGAAGGAGGGAGAATGGGGCGGGGTGATGGAAAGCGGGAGAATGGGGCAGGGTGATGGAAGGAGGGGGTGATGGAAGGACGGAGAATGGGGCGGGGTGATGGAAATCGGGAGAACGGGGCGGGGTGATGGAAAGCGGGAGAACGGGGCGGGGTGATGGAAAGCGGGAGAACGGGGCGGGGTGATGGAAAGCGGGAGAATGGGGCGAGGTGATGGAAAGCAGGAGAATGGGGCAAGGTGATGGAAAGCGGGAGAATAGGGCGGGGTGCTGGAAAGCAGGAGAATGGGGCGGGGTGATGGAAAGCGGGAGAATGGGGCCAGGTGATGGAAAGCGGGAGAACGGGGCGGGGTGATGGAAAGCGGGAGAGTGGGGCGGGGTGATGGAAAGCGGGAGAATGGGGCGGGGTGATGGAATGCGGGAGAATGGGGCGGGGTGATGGAAAGCGGGAGAATGGGGCGGGGTGATGGAAAGTGGGAGAATGGGGTAGGGTGATGGAAAGCGGGAGAATGGGGCGGGGTGATGGAAAGCGGGAGAATGGGGCGGGGTGATGGAAAGCAGGAGAATGGGGCAGGTTGATGGAAGGAGGGGGTGATGGAAGGAGGGAGAATGGGGCGGGGTGATGGAAGGCGGGAGAATGGGGCGGGGTGATGGAAGGAGGGAGAATGGGGCGGGGTGATGGAAAGCGGGAGAAAGGGGCGGGGTGATGGAAAGCGGGAGAATGGGGCGGGGTGATGGAAAGCAGGAGAACGGGGCGGGGTGATGGAAAGCGGGAGAATGGGGCGGGGTGATGGAAAGCGGGAGAATGGGGCGGGTGATGGAAAGCGGGAGAATGGGGCGGGGTGATGGAAGGAGGGAGAATGGGGCGGGGTGATGGAAAGCGTGAGAATGGGGTGGGGTGATGGAAAGCGGGAGAATGGGGCGGGGTGAAGGAAAGCGGGAGAATGGGGCGGGGTGATGGAAAGGGGTAGAATGGGGCAGGGTGATGGAAGGCGGGGTGATGGAAAGCGGGAGAATGGGGCGGGGTTCTGGAAACCGGGAGAATGGGGAGGGGTGATGGAAAGCGGGAGAATGGGGTGGGGTGATGGAAAGCGGGAAAATGGGGCGGGGCGATGGAAACCGGGAGAATGGGGCAGGGTGATGGAAAGCGGGAGAATGGGGCGGGGTGATGGAATGCGGGAGAATGGGGCGGGGTGATGGAAAGCGGAAGGATGGGACGGGGTGATGGAAGGAGGGAGAATGGGGGGTAATGGAAGGAGGGAGAATGGGGCGGGGTGATGGAAAGCGGGAGAATGGGGCGGGGTGATGAAAAGCGGGAGAATGGGGCGGGGTGATGGAAAGCGGGAGAATGGGGCGGGGTGATGGAAGGAGGGAAAATGGGGCAGGGTGATGGAAAGCGGGAGAATGGGGTGGGGTGATGGAAAGCGTGAGAATGGGGCGGGGTGATTGAAAGCGGGAGAATGGGGTGGGGTGATGGAAGGCGGGAGAATGGGGCGGGGTGATGGAAGGCGGGAGAATGGGGCGGGGTGATGAAAAGCGGGAGAATGGGGCGGGGTGATGGAAGGAGGGAGAATGGGGCGGGGTGATGGAAGGAGGGAGAATGGGGCGGGGTGATGGAAAGCGGGAGAATGGGGCGGGGTGATGGAAAGCGGGAGAATGGGGCGGGGTGATGGAAAGCGGGAGAATGGGGCGGGGTGATGGAAAGCGGGAGAATGGGGCGGGGTGATGGAAGGAGGGAGAATGGGGCGGGGTGATGGAAAGCGTGAGAATTGGGCGGGGTGATGGAAAGCAGGAGAATGGGGCGGGGTGATGGAAAGCGGGAGAATGGGGCGGGGTGATGGAAAGCGGGAGAATGGGGTGGGGTGATGGAAAGCGGGATAATGGGGAGGGGTGATGGAAAGCGGGAGAATGGGGCGCGATGATGGAAAGCGGGAGAATGGGGCGGGGTGATGGAAAGCGGGAGAATGGGGCGGGGTGATGGAAAGCGGGAGATGGGGCGGGGTGATGGAATGCGGTAGAACGGGGCGGGGTGATGGAAAGCGGAAGGATGGGGCGGGGTGATGGAAGGTGGGAGAATGGGGCGGGGTGATGGAAGGAGGGAGAATGGGGCGGGGTGATGGAAAGCGGGAGAATGGGGCGGGGTGATGGAAAGCGTGAGAATGGGGCAGGGTGATGGAAAGTGGGGCGGGGTGATGGAAAGCGGGAGAATGGGGCGGGGTGATGGAAAGCGGGAGAATGGGGCGGGGTGATGGAAAGCGGGAGAATGGGGCGGGGTGATGGAAAGCGGGAGAATGGGGCGGGGTGATGGAAAGCGGGAGAATGGGGCGGGGTGATGGAAAGCGGGAGAATAGGGCGGGGTGATGGAAAGCGGGAGAATGGGGCAGGGTGATGGAAAGTGGGAGAATGGGGCGGGGTGATGGAAAGCGGGAGAATGGGGCGGGGTGATGGAAAGCGGGAGAATGGGGCAGGGTGATGGAAGGAGGGGGTGATGGAAGGAGGGAGAATGGGGCGGGGTGGTGGAAGGCGGGAGAATGGGGCAGGGTGATGGAAGGAGGGAGAATGGGGCGGGGTGATGGAAAGCGGGAGAAAGGGGCGGGGTGATGGAAAGCGGGAGAATGGGGCGGGGTGATGGAAAGCGGGAGAACGGGGCGGGGTGATGGAAAGCGGGAGAAGGGGGCGGGGTGATGGAAAGCGGGAGAATGGGGCGGGGTGATGGAAAGCGGGAGAATGGGGTGGGGTGATGGAAAGCGGGAGAATGGGGCGGTGTGAAGGAAAGCGGGAGAATGGGGCGGGGTGATGGAAAGGGGTAGAATGGGGCGGGGTGATGGAAGGCGGGGTGATGGAAAGCGGGAGAATGGGGCGGGGTTCTGGAAACCGGGAGAATGGGGCGGGGTGATGGAAAGCGGGAGAATGGGGTGGGGTGATGGAAAGCGGGAAAATGGGGCGGGGCGATGGAAAGCGGGAGAATGGGGCGGGGTGATGGAAAGCAGAAGGATGGGGCGGGGTGATGGAAGGAGGGAGAATGGGGGGTGATGGAAGGAGGGAGAATAGGGCGGGGTGATGGAAAGCGGGAGAATGGGGCGGGGTGATGAAAAGCGGGAGAATGGGGCGGGGTGTTGGAAAGCGGGAGAATGGGGCGGGGTGATGGAAGGAGGGAAAATGGGGCAGGGTGATGGAAAGCGGGAGAATGGGGTGGGGTGATGGAAAGCGGGAGAATGGGGCGGGGTGATTGAAAGCGGGAGAATGGGGTGGGGTGATGGAAGGCGGGAGAATAGGGCGGGGTGATGGAAAGCGGGAGAATGGGGTGGGGTGATGGAAAGCGGGAGAATGGGGAGGGGTGATGGAAAGCGGGAGAATGGAGCGCGGTGATGGAAAGCGGGAGAATGGGGCGGGGTGATGGAAAGCGGGAGAATGGGGCGAGGTGATGGAAAGCGGGAGAATGGGGCGGGGTGATGGAAGGCGGGAGAATGGGGCAGGGTGATGGAAAGCGGGAGAATGGGGCGGGGTGATGGAAAGCGGGAGAATGGGGCGGGGTGATGAAAGGAGGGATGGGGCGGGGTGATGGAAAGCGGGAGAATGGGGCGGCGTGCTGGAAAGTGGAAGAATGGGGCGGGGTGATGGAAAACGGGAGAATCGGGCGGGGTGATGGAAAGCGGGAGAATGGGGCGGGGTGATGGAAAGCGGGAGAATGGGGCGGGGTGATGGAAAGCGGGAGAATGGGGCGGGGTGATGGAAGGAGGGAGAATGGGGCGGGGTGATGGAAAGCGTGAGAATTGGGCGGGGTGATGGAAAGCAGGAGAATGGGGCGGGGTGATGGAAAGCGGGAGAATGGGGCGGGGTGATGGAAAGCCGGAGAATGGGGTGGGGTGATGGAAAGCGGGAGAATGGGGAGGGGTGATGGAAAGCGGGAGAATGGGGCGCGTTGATGGAAAACGGGAGAATGGGGCGGGGTGATGGAAAGCGGGAGAATGGGGCGGGGTGAAGGAAAGCGGGAGAATGGGGCGGGGTGATGGAAAGGGGTAGTATGGGGCAGGGTGATGGAAGGCGGGGTGATGGAAAGCGGGAGAATGGGGCGGGGTTCTGGAAACCGGGAGAATGGGGAGGGGTGATGGAAAGCGGGAGAATGGGGTGGGGTGATGGAAAGCGGGAAAATGGGGCGGGGCGATGGAAACCGGGAGAATGGGGCAGGGTGATGGAAAGCGGGAGAATGGGGCGGGGTGATGGAATGCGGGAGAATGGGGCGGGGTGATGGAAAGCGGAAGGATGGGACGGGGTGATGGAAGGAGGGAGAATGGGGGGTAATGGAAGGAGGGAGAATGGGGCGGGGTGATGGAAAGCGGGAGAATGGGGCGGGGTGATGAAAAGCGGGAGAATGGGGCGGGGTGATGGAAAGCGGGAGAATGGGGCGGGGTGATGGAAGGAGGGAAAATGGGGCAGGGTGATGGAAAGCGGGAGAATGGGGTGGGGTGATGGAAAGCGTGAGAATGGGGCGGGGTGATTGAAAGCGGGAGAATGGGGTGGGGTGATGGAAGGCGGGAGAATGGGGCGGGGTGATGGAAGGCGGGAGAATGGGGCGGGGTGATGAAAAGCGGGAGAATGGGGCGGGGTGATGGAAGGAGGGAGAATGGGGCGGGGTGATGGAAGGAGGGAGAATGGGGCGGGGTGATGGAAAGCGGGAGAATGGGGCGGGGTGATGGAAAGCGGGAGAATGGGGCGGGGTGATGGAAAGCGGGAGAATGGGGCGGGGTGATGGAAAGCGGGAGAATGGGGCGGGGTGATGGAAGGAGGGAGAATGGGGCGGGGTGATGGAAAGCGTGAGAATTGGGCGGGGTGATGGAAAGCAGGAGAATGGGGCGGGGTGATGGAAAGCGGGAGAATGGGGCGGGGTGATGGAAAGCGGGAGAATGGGGTGGGGTGATGGAAAGCGGGATAATGGGGAGGGGTGATGGAAAGCGGGAGAATGGGGCGCGATGATGGAAAGCGGGAGAATGGGGCGGGGTGATGGAAAGCGGGAGAATGGGGCGGGGTGATGGAAAGCGGGAGATGGGGCGGGGTGATGGAATGCGGTAGAACGGGGCGGGGTGATGGAAAGCGGAAGGATGGGGCGGGGTGATGGAAGGTGGGAGAATGGGGCGGGGTGATGGAAGGAGGGAGAATGGGGCGGGGTGATGGAAAGCGGGAGAATGGGGCGGGGTGATGGAAAGCGTGAGAATGGGGCAGGGTGATGGAAAGTGGGGCGGGGTGATGGAAAGCGGGAGAATGGGGCGGGGTGATGGAAAGCGGGAGAATGGGGCGGGGTGATGGAAAGCGGGAGAATGGGGCGGGGTGATGGAAAGCGGGAGAATGGGGCGGGGTGATGGAAAGCGGGAGAATGGGGCGGGGTGATGGAAAGCGGGAGAATAGGGCGGGGTGATGGAAAGCGGGAGAATGGGGCAGGGTGATGGAAAGTGGGAGAATGGGGCGGGGTGATGGAAAGCGGGAGAATGGGGCGGGGTGATGGAAAGCGGGAGAATGGGGCAGGGTGATGGAAGGAGGGGGTGATGGAAGGAGGGAGAATGGGGCGGGGTGGTGGAAGGCGGGAGAATGGGGCAGGGTGATGGAAGGAGGGAGAATGGGGCGGGGTGATGGAAAGCGGGAGAAAGGGGCGGGGTGATGGAAAGCGGGAGAATGGGGCGGGGTGATGGAAAGCGGGAGAACGGGGCGGGGTGATGGAAAGCGGGAGAAGGGGGCGGGGTGATGGAAAGCGGGAGAATGGGGCGGGGTGATGGAAAGCGGGAGAATGGGGTGGGGTGATGGAAAGCGGGAGAATGGGGCGGTGTGAAGGAAAGCGGGAGAATGGGGCGGGGTGATGGAAAGGGGTAGAATGGGGCGGGGTGATGGAAGGCGGGGTGATGGAAAGCGGGAGAATGGGGCGGGGTTCTGGAAACCGGGAGAATGGGGCGGGGTGATGGAAAGCGGGAGAATGGGGTGGGGTGATGGAAAGCGGGAAAATGGGGCGGGGCGATGGAAAGCGGGAGAATGGGGCGGGGTGATGGAAAGCAGAAGGATGGGGCGGGGTGATGGAAGGAGGGAGAATGGGGGGTGATGGAAGGAGGGAGAATAGGGCGGGGTGATGGAAAGCGGGAGAATGGGGCGGGGTGATGAAAAGCGGGAGAATGGGGCGGGGTGTTGGAAAGCGGGAGAATGGGGCGGGGTGATGGAAGGAGGGAAAATGGGGCAGGGTGATGGAAAGCGGGAGAATGGGGTGGGGTGATGGAAAGCGGGAGAATGGGGCGGGGTGATTGAAAGCGGGAGAATGGGGTGGGGTGATGGAAGGCGGGAGAATAGGGCGGGGTGATGGAAAGCGGGATAATGGGGTGGGGTGATGGAAAGCGGGAGAATGGGGAGGGGTGATGGAAAGCGGGAGAATGGAGCGCGGTGATGGAAAGCGGGAGAATGGGGCGGGGTGATGGAAAGCGGGAGAATGGGGCGAGGTGATGGAAAGCGGGAGAATGGGGCGGGGTGATGGAAGGCGGGAGAATGGGGCAGGGTGATGGAAAGCGGGAGAATGGGGCGGGGTGATGGAAAGCGGGAGAATGGGGCGGGGTGATGAAAGGAGGGATGGGGCGGGGTGATGGAAAGCGGGAGAATGGGGCGGGCTCATGGAAAGCGGGAGAATGGGGCGGCGTGCTGGAAAGTGGAAGAATGGGGCGGGGTGATGGAAAACGGGAGAATCGGGCGGGGTGATGGAAAGCGGGAGAATGGGGCGGGGTGATGGAAAGCGGGAGAATGGGGCGGGGTGATGGAAAGCGGGAGAATGGGGCGGGGTGATGGAAGGAGGGAGAATGGGGCGGGGTGATGGAAAGCGTGAGAATTGGGCGGGGTGATGGAAAGCAGGAGAATGGGGCGGGGTGATGGAAAGCGGGAGAATGGGGCGGGGTGATGGAGAGCCGGAGAATGGGGTGGGGTGATGGAAAGCGGGAGAATGGGGAGGGGTGATGGAAAGCGGGAGAATGGGGCGCGTTGATGGAAAACGGGAGAATGGGGCGGGGTGATGGAAAGCGGGAGAATGGGGCGGGGTGATAGAATGCGGTAGAATGGGGCGGGGTGATGGAAAGCGGAAGGATGGGGCGGGTTGATGAAAGGAGGGAGAATGGGGCGGGGTGATGGAAAGCGTGAGAATGGGGCGGGGTGTTGGAAAGCGTGAGAATGGGGTAGGGTGATGGAAAGTGGGAGAATGGGGCGGGGTGATGGAAAGCGGGAGAATGGGGCGGGGTGATGGAAAGCGGGAGAATGGGGCGGGGTGATGGAAAGCGGGAGAATGGGGCGGGGTGATGGAAAGCGGGAGAATGGGGCGGGGTGATGGAAAACGGGAGAATGGGGCGGGGTGATGGAAAGCAGGAGAATGGGGCGGGGTGATGGAAAGCGGGAGAATGGGGCGGGGTGATGGAAAGCGGGAGAATGGGGCGGGGTGATGGAAAGCGGGGGAATGGGGCGGGTTCATGGAAAGCGGGAGAATGGGGCGGGGTGCTGGAAAGTGGAAGAATGGGGCGGGGTGATGGAAAATGGGAGAATGGGGCGGGGTGATGGAAAGCGGGAGAATGGGGCGGGGTGATGGAAAGCGGGAGAATGGGGCGGGGTGATGGAATGCGGGAGAATAGGGCGGGGTGATGGAAAGCGGGAGAATGGGGTGGGGTGATGGAATGCGGGAGAATGGGGCGGGGTGATGGAAAGCGGGAAAATGGGGCGGGGCGATGGAAACCGGGAGAATGGGGCGGGGTGATGGAAAGCGGGAGAATGGGGCGGGGTGATGGAATGCGGGAGAATGGGGCGGGGTGATGGAAAGCAGAAGGATGGGGCGGGGTGATGGAAGGAGGGAGAATGGGGGGTGATGGAAGGAGGGAGAATAGGGCGGGGTGATGGAAAGCGGGAGAATGGGGCGGGGTGATGAAAAGCGGGAGAATGGGGCGGGGTGTTGGAAAGCGGGAGAATGGGGCGGGGTGATGGAAGGAGGGAAAATGGGGCAGGGTGATGGAAAGCGGGAGAATGGGGTGGGGTGATGGAAAGCGGGAGAATGGGGCGGGGTGATTGAAAGCGGGAGAATGAGGTGGGGTGATGGAAGGCGGGAGAATAGGGCGGGGTGATGGAAAGCGGGAGAATGGGGCGGGGTGATGGAAAGCGGGAGAATGGGGAGGGGTGATGGAAAGCGGGAGAATGGAGCGCGGTGATGGAAAGCGGGAGAATGGGGCGGGGTGATGGAAAGCGGGAGAATGGGGCGAGGTGATGGAAAGCGGGAGAATGGGGCGGGGTGATGGAAAGTGGGAGAATGGGGCAGGGTGATGGAAAGCGGGAGAATGGGGCGGGGTGATGGAAAGCGGGAGAATGGGGCGGGGTGATGAAAGGAGGGATGGGGCGGGGTGATGGAAAGCGGGAGAATGGGGCGGGCTCATGGAAAGCGGGAGAATGGGGCGGCGTGCTGGAAAGTGGAAGAATGGGGTGGGGTGATGGAAAACGGGAGAATCGGGCGGGGTGATGGAAAGCGGGAGAATGGGGCGGGGTGATGGAAAGCGGGAGAATGGGGCGGGGTGATGGAAAGCGGGAGAATGGGGCGGGGTGATGGAAGGAGGGAGAATGGGGCGGGGTGATGGAAAGCGTGAAAATTGGGCGGGGTGATGGAAAGCAGGAGAATGGGGCGGGGTGATGGAAAGCGGGAGAATGGGGCGGGGTGATGGAAAGCCGGAGAATGGGGTGGGGTGATGGAAAGCGGGAGAATGGGGAGGGGTGATGGAAAGCGGGAGAATGGGGCGCGGTGATGGAAAGCGGGAGAATGGGGCGGGGTGATGGAAAGCGGGAGAATGGGGCGGGGTGATAGAATGCGGTAGAACGGGGCGGGGTGATGGAAAGCGGAAGGATGGGGCGGGTTGATGAAAGGAGGGAGAATGGGGCGGGGTGATGGAAAGCGTGAGAATGGGGCGGGGTGTTGGAAAGCGTGAGAATGGGGTAGGGTGATGGAAAGTGGGAGAATGGGGCGGGGTGATGGAAAGCGGGAGAATGGGGCGGGGTGATGGAAAGCGGGAGAATGGGGCGGGGTGATGGAAAGCGGGAGAATGGGGCGGGGTGATGGAAAGCGGGAGAATGGGGCGGGGTGATGGAAAACGGGAGAATGGGGCGGGGTGATGGAAAGCGGGAGAATGGGGCGGGGTGATGGAAAACGGGAGAATGGGGCGGGGTGATGGAAAGCAGGAGAATGGGGCGGGGTGATGGAAAGCGGGAGAATGGGGCGGGGTGATGGAAAGCGGGAGAATGGGGCGGGGTGATGGAAAGCGGGAGAATGGGGCGGGTTCATGGAAAGCGGGAGAATGGGGCGGGGTTGTGGAAAGTGGAAGAATGGGGCGGGGTGATGGAAAATGGGAGAATGGGGCGGGGTGATGGAAAGCGGGAGAATGGAGCGGGGTGATGGAAAGCGGGAGAATGGGGCGGGGTGATGGAATGCGGGAGAATAGGGCGGGGTGATGGAAAGCGGGAGAATGGGGTGGGGTGATGGAATGCGGGAGAATGGGGCGGGGTGATGGAAAGCGGGAGAATGGGGCGAGGTAATGGAAAGCGGGAGAATGGGGCGGGGTGATGGAAAGCGGGAGAATGGGGCGGGTTGATGGATATCGGGAGAATGGGGCGGGGTGATGGAAGGAGGGAGAATGGGGAGGGATGATGGAAAGCGGGAGAATGGGGCGGGGTGATGGAAAGTGGGAGAATTGGGCGGGGTGATGGAAAGCGGGAGAATTGGGCGGGGTGATGGAAAGCGGGAGAATGAGGCGAGGTGATGGAAAGCGGGAGAATGGGGCGGGGTGATGGATAGCGGGAGAATGGGGCGGGGTTGTGGAAAGCGGGAGAATGGGGCGGGGTGATGGAAAGCGGGAGAATGGGGCGGGGTGATGGAAAGCGGGAGAATGGGGCGGGTTGATGGAAAGCGGGAGAATGGGGCGGGGTGCTGGAAACCGGTAGAATGGGGCGGGGTGATGGAAAGCGGGAGAATGGGGCGGGGTGATGGAAAGCGGGAGAATGGGGCGGGGTGATGGAAAGCGGGAGAATGGGGCGGGGTGATGGAAAGCGGGAGAATGGGGCGGGGTGATGGATAGCGGGAGAATGGGGCGGGGTGATGGAAAGCGGGAGAATGGGGCGGGGTGATGGAAAGCGGGAGAGTGGGGCGGGGTGATGGAAAGCGGGAGAATGGGGCGGGGTGATGGAAAGCGGGAGAATGGGGCGGGATGATGGAAAGCGGGAGAATGGGGCGGGGTGATGGAAAGCGGGAGAATGGGGCGGGGTGATGGATAGCGGGAGAATGGGGCGGGGTGATGGAAAGCGGGAGAATGGGGCGGGGTGATGGAAAGCGGGAGAGTGGGGCGGGGTGATGGAAAGCGGGAGAATGGGGCGGGGTTCTGGAAAGCGGGAGAATGGGGCGGGGTGCTGGAAACCGGGAGAATGGGGCGGGGTGATGGAAAGCGGGAGAATGGGGCGGGGTGATGGAAAGCGGGAGAATGGGGCGGGGTGATGGAAAGCGGGAGAATGGGGCGGGGTGATGGAAAGCGGGAGAATAGGGCGGGGTGATGGAAAGCGGGAGAATGGGGCGGGGTGATGGAAAGCGGGAGAATGGAGCGCGGTGATGGAAAGCGGGAGAATGGGGCGGGGTGATGGAAAGCGGGAGAATGGGGCGAGGTGATGGAAAGCGGGAGAATGGGGCGGGGTGATGGAAAGTGGGAGAATGGGGCAGGGTGATGGAAAGCGGGAGAATGGGGCGGGGTGATGGAAAGCGGGAGAATGGGGCGGGGTGATGAAAGGAGGGATGGGGCGGGGTGATGGAAAGCGGGAGAATGGGGCGGGCTCATGGAAAGCGGGAGAATGGGGCGGCGTGCTGGAAAGTGGAAGAATGGGGCGGGGTGATGGAAAACGGGAGAATCGGGCGGGGTGATGGAAAGCGGGAGAATGGGGCGGGGTGATGGAAAGCGGGAGAATGGGGCGGGGTGATGGAAAGCGGGAGAATGGGGCGGGGTGATGGAAGGAGGGAGAATGGGGCGGGGTGATGGAAAGCGTGAGAATTGGGCGGGGTGATGGAAAGCAGGAGAATGGGGCGGGGTGATGGAAAGCGGGAGAATGGGGCGGGGTGATGGAAAGCCGGAGAATGGGGCGGGGTTCTGGAAAGCGGGAGAATGGGGCGGGGTGCTGGAAACCGGGAGAATGGGGCGGGGTGATGGAAAGCGGGAGAATGGGGCGGGGTGATGGAAAGCGGGAGAATGGGGCGGGGTGATGGAAAGCGGGAGAATGGGGCGGGGTGATGGAAAGCGGGAGAATAGGGCGGGGTGATGGAAAGCGGGAGAATGGGGCGGGGTGATGGAAAGCGGGAGAATGGAGCGCGGTGATGGAAAGCGGGAGAATGGGGCGGGGTGATGGAAAGCGGGAGAATGGGGCGAGGTGATGGAAAGCGGGAGAATGGGGCGGGGTGATGGAAAGTGGGAGAATGGGGCAGGGTGATGGAAAGCGGGAGAATGGGGCGGGGTGATGGAAAGCGGGAGAATGGGGCGGGGTGATGAAAGGAGGGATGGGGCGGGGTGATGGAAAGCGGGAGAATGGGGCGGGCTCATGGAAAGCGGGAGAATGGGGCGGCGTGCTGGAAAGTGGAAGAATGGGGCGGGGTGATGGAAAACGGGAGAATCGGGCGGGGTGATGGAAAGCGGGAGAATGGGGCGGGGTGATGGAAAGCGGGAGAATGGGGCGGGGTGATGGAAAGCGGGAGAATGGGGCGGGGTGATGGAAGGAGGGAGAATGGGGCGGGGTGATGGAAAGCGTGAGAATTGGGCGGGGTGATGGAAAGCAGGAGAATGGGGCGGGGTGATGGAAAGCGGGAGAATGGGGCGGGGTGATGGAAAGCCGGAGAATGGGGTGGGGTGATGGAAAGCGGGAGAATGGGGAGGGGTGATGGAAAGCGGGAGAATGGGTCGCGGTGATGGAAAACGGGAGAATGGGGCGGGGTGATGGAAAGCGGGAGAATGGGGCGGGGTGATAGAATGCGGTAGAATGGGGCGGGGTGATGGAAAGCGGAAGGATGGGGCGGGTTGATGAAAGGAGGGAGAATGGGGCGGGGTGATGGAAAGCGTGAGAATGGGGCGGGGTGTTGGAAAGCGTGAGAATGGGGTAGGGTGATGGAAAGTGGGAGAATGGGGCGGGGTGATGGAAAGCGGGAGAATGGGGCGGGGTGATGGAAAGCGGGAGAATGGGGCGGGGTGATGGAAAGCGGGAGAATGGGGCGGGGTGATGGAAAGCGGGAGAATGGGGCGGGGTGATGGAAAACGGGAGAATGGGGCGGGGTGATGGAAAGCAGGAGAATGGGGCGGGGTGATGGAAAGCGGGAGAATGGGGCGGGGTGATGGAAAGCGGGAGAATGGGGCGGGGTGATGGAAAGCGGGAGAATGGGGCGGGTTCATGGAAAGCGGGAGAATGGGGCGGGGTGCTGGAAAGTGGAAGAATGGGGCGGGGTGATGGAAAATGGGAGAATGGGGCGGGGTGATGGAAAGCGGGAGAATGGGGCGGGGTGATGGAAAGCGGGAGAATGGGGCGGGGTGATGGAATGCGGGAGAATAGGGCGGGGTGATGGAAAGCGGGAGAATGGGGTGGGGTGATGGAATGCGGGAGAATGGGGCGGGGTGATGGAAAGCGGGAGAATGGGGCGAGGTAATGGAAAGCGGGAGAATGGGGCGGGGTGATGGAAAGCGGGAGAATGGGGCGGGTTGATGGATATCGGGAGAATGGGGCGGGGTGATGGAAGTAGGGAGAATGGGGAGGGATGATGGAAAGCGGGAGAATGGGGCGGGGTGATGGAAAGTGGGAGAATTGGGCGGGGTGATGGAAAGCGGGAGAATTGGGCGGGGTGATGGAAAGCGGGAGAATGAGGCGGGGTGATGGAAAGCGGGAGAATGGGGCGGGGTGATGGATAGCGGGAGAATGGGGCGGGGTGATGGAAAGCGGGAGAATGGGGCGGGGTGATGGAAAGCGGGAGAGTGGGGCGGGGTGATGGAAAGCGGGAGAATGGGGCGGGGTTCTGGAAAGCGGGAGAATGGGGCGGGGTGCTGGAAACCGGGAGAATGGGGCGGGGTGATGGAAAGCGGGAGAATGGGGCGGGGTGATGGAAAGCGGGAGAATGGGGCGGGGTGATGGAAAGCGGGAGAATGGGGCGGGGTGATGGAAAGCGGGAGAATAGGGCGGGGTGATGGAAAGCGGGAGAATGGGGCGGGGTGATGGAATGCGGGAGAATGGGGCGGGGTGATGGAAAGCGGGAGAATGGGGAGGGGTGATGGAAAGCGGGAGAATAGGGCGGGGTGATGGAAAGCGGGAGAATGGGGCGGGGTGATGGAAAGCGGGAGAATGGGGCGGGGTGATGGAAAGCGGGAGAATGGGGCGAGGTGATGGAAAACGGGAGAATGGGGCGGGGTGATGGAAAGCGGGAGAATGGGGCGGGGTGATGGAAAGCGGGAGAATGGGGCGGGGTGATGGAAAGCGGGAGAATGGGGCGGGGTGATGGAAAGCGGGAGAATGGGGCGGGTTCATGGAAAGCGGGAGAATGGGGCGGGGTGCTGGAAAGTGGAAGAATGGGGCGGGGTGATGGAAAACGGGAGAATGGGGCGGGGTGATGGAAAGCGGGAGAATGGGGCGGGGTGATGGAAAGCGGGAGAATGGGGCGGGGTGATGGAATGCGGGAGAATGGGGAGGGGTGATGGAAAGCGGGAGAATGGGGCGCGGTGATGGAAAGCGGGAGAATGGGGCGGGGTGATGGAAAGCGGGAGAATGGGGCGAGGTGATGGAAAGCGGGAGAATGGGGCGGGGTGATGGAAAGTGGGAGAATGGGGCAGGGTGATGGAAAGCGGGAGAATGGGGCGGGGTGATGGAAAGCGGAAGAATGGGGCGGGGTGATGAAAGGAGGGATGGGGCGGGGTGATGGAAAGCGGGAGAATGGGGCGGGCTCATGGAAAGCGGGAGAATGGGGCGGCGTGCTGGAAAGTGGAAGAATGGGGCGGGGTGATGGAAAACGGGAGAATCTGGCGGGGTGATGGAAAGCGGGAGAATGGGGCGGGGTGATGGAAAGCGGGAGAATGGGGCGGGGTGATGGAAGGAGGGAGAATGGGACGGGGTGATGGAAAGCGTGAGAATTGGGCGGGGTGATGGAAAGCAGGAGAATGGGGCGGGGTGATGGAAAGCGGGAGAATGGGGCGGGGTGATGGAAAGCCGGAGAATGGGGTGGGGTGATGGAAAGCGGGAGAATGGGGAGGGGTGATGGAAAGCGGGAGAATGGGGCGCGGTGATGGAAAGCGGGAGAATGGGGCGGGGTGATGGAAAGCGGGAGAATGGGGCGGGGTGATAGAATGCGGTAGAACGGGGCGGGGTGATGGAAAGCGGAAGGATGGGGCGGGGTGATGAAAGGAGGGAGAATGGGGCGGGGTGATGGAAAGCGTGAGAATGGGGCGGGGTGATGGAAAGCGTGAGAATGGGGTAGGGTGATGGAAAGTGGGAGAATGGGGCGGGGTGATGGAAAGCGGGAGAATGGGGCGGGGTGATGGAAAGCGGGAGAATGGGGCGGGGTGATGGAAAGCGGGAGAATGGGGCGGGGTGATGGAAAGCGGGAGAATGGGGCGGGGTGATGGAAAACGGGAGAATGGGGCGGGGTGATGGAAAGCGGGAGAATGGGGCGGGGTGATGGAAAGCGGGAGAATGGGGCGGGGTGATGGAAAGCGGGAGAATGGGGCGGGGTGATGGAAAGCGGGAGAATGGGGCGGGTTCATGGAAAGCGGGAGAATGGGGCGGGGTGCTGGAAAGTGGAAGAATGGGGCGGGGTGATGGAAAATGGGAGAATGGGGCGGGGTGATGGAAAGCGGGAGAATGGGGCGGGGTGATGGAAAGCGGGAGAATGGGGCGGGGTGATGGAATGCGGGAGAATGGGGCGGGGTGATGGAAAGCGGGAGAATGGGGTGGGGTGATGGAATGCGGGAGAATGGGGCGGGGTGATGGAAAGCGGGAGAATGGGGCGAGGTGATGGAAGGAGGGAGAATGGGGCGGGGTGATGGAAAGCGGGAGAATGGGGCGGAGTGATGGAAAGCGGGACAATGGGGCGGGGTGATGGAAAGCTGGAGAATGGGGCGGGGTCATGGAAAGCGGGAGAATGGGGCGGGGTGATGGAAGGAGGGAGAATGGGGCGGGGTGATGGAAAGCGGGAGAATGGGGCGGGGTGATGGAAAGCGGGAGAATGGGGCGGGGTGATGGAAAATGGGAGAATGGGGCGGGGTGATGGAAAGCGGGAGAATGGGGCGGGGTGATGGAAAGCGGGAGAATGGGGCGGGGTGATGGAAAGCGGGAGAATGGGGCGGGGTGATGGAAAGCGGGAGAACGGGGCGGGGTGATGGAAAGCGGGAGAACGGGGCGGGGTGATGGAAAGCGGGAGAACGGGGCGGGGTGATGGAAAGCGGGAGAACGGGGCGGGGTGATGGAAAGCGGGAGAACGGGGCGGGGTGATGGAAAGCGGGAGAACGGGGCGGGGTGATGGAAAGCGGGAGAACGGGGCGGGGTGATGGAAAGCGGGAGAACGGGGCGGGGTGATGGAAGGAGGGAAAATGGGGCGGGGTGATGGAAAGCGGGAGAATGGGGCGGGGTGATGGAAAGCGGGAGAATGGGGCGGGGTGATGGAAAGCGGGAGAATGGGGCGGGGTGATGGAAAGCGGGAGAATGGGGCGGGATGATGGAAAGCGGGAGAATGGGGCGGGATGATGGAAGGCGGGAGAATGGGGCGGGGTGATGGAAGGCGGGAGAATGGGGCGGGGTGATGGAAAGCGGGAGAATGGGGCGGGGTGATGGAAAGCGGGAGAACGGGGC